CATTCGCCCTTTGGATGAATCTGGCATTCCTCCTGGCCCTGAGCTATAAGGCAAATACCGTGCTCATCTTCCTCATGAGGAAACTGAGGCTCAGAGAGGCATGAAACTTGCCTAAGATCACAGGTGCCAGGACTCAGGCACAGCCCTGCCTCACTTTCCCCCAGCTCTCTGGGGCCTCCTGGCCAGGACAGCTGCCAGGGACCAGGTGTGTCACCTACCTGAGGCCAGGCAGGGAGCCCTGCCCCTCAGTGAAGTTCCCCACAGGTGGGTCGTGGCGCGGTCCAGGCTGCCAGGCTTGGTGTGGGGGCAGGGGCCAACCGTATCTCCACCCCCAGGCACAGAGCCAGAGTGGGTCGCTCTGATCTGCTTCAGGGTCTTGTCACCTGTTCCCAGTGAGGCCCTGGGCAAGCCCCTGCCCCTTCTGGGGTCTTAGTTTCCACCTCTGTAAAATGGGGACATGGCGGCAGCAGCCTTTGTCCCCTGTGTGCCCTTCGGGGACTGACATGAAAGGGTCTCGCTCCAGGAAGGAAGCACACAGAACATGGGCCAGGTCCCCCCACCCTCTCACCCCCCAGAGCCAGAGATCCCAAGCTTCCTCAGTGGCAGAGAGTGAGGGGAAGCGGGGGAGGAGTGGAATGAAAAAGCACTTAGGGGAAATTACTCGGTGTTTGGAATCCAGGATGGTGCCGGGGCACTGCAAGTGTTTAAGGACCTACCATTTCCGTTTCCTGTCTCGTTTCAACTTCCCAACAGCCCTCCCAAGGCGTGTCTGGAGGTCAGAGGTCTGTAGTGTGTCTCACTGGGCTAAAGCCAAGGTCATCCTCAGGGCAGCGTTCCTTCTGGAGGTTTTCTGAGAAACTCAACCTTGCCTTTTCCAGTTTCTAGAGGCCACAGGAGTCTGACACGGGGCTCCTTCCTCCATCTTCAAAGCAAGCGGCCCCGTCCATTCTCCCTGGCTTTCTCCCTGCCTTCCTCTCCCACAAGGAAGCATCTTGTGATCTTGGGTTCACTTGGATAATCCAGGCTACTCTCTCTCCCTGATTGGCAAACTTAATTCCATCTGTTACCTTAATTAGCCTTTGTTTGCCTTGCCACCTAATGCACTGGTTCTGGGGATTAGGACGTGAATGTCTTTGGGAGGAGATGTAATTCTGCCTCCCACACATGGGTTTTATCCAATGACTTAACTACTCGTTAGGCCTGTAGTGGGTGCCAGGCACCTACTGGGAACAGCATATGAGAAAGTTGATCCTCTAGTTGATGGTGAGAAATACGAGGAAGACAAACAAATGGGGTGGGGAATGAGCTGTGGAGGGAACAGGGCTGCCCCCGTAAGCAAGGTGGCCAGGGAAAGCCTCCGTGGGAAGGTGACATGTGATTGAAGACTGGATGGAGGGGACTCCCTGGGGGGTCCAGTGGCTGAGACTGTGGCTCTTAAAGCAAGGGCGCTGGGTTTGATTTCTGGTCAGGGAACTAGCTCTCACATGCTACAACTAAAAGATCCTGTGTGCTGCAACTAAGACCTGAGGCAGCCAACTAAATAATTAATAAGATTGGAAGGAGGGAGGAGGGAACAAAGGAGGCGACCATAGGAAGAGTGGCTTGGTGACCAACACTGTCAACCGCCTCCCAAAACTAACTTCTGTGCTGGAGAAGCCGTTCTCCCAGCGAGTGGAACCGAGCACCTGGGAACCTGGGACCTGGCCACCAGCCCAAGGGGAAGCCTGGATGGGGTGGGTGGCTGGGGGGACCCAGTGGTTGGGAAACGGGTTATGCCCGTTGCCCTGGTAACAAGCTGACACAAGTGGCGTGTTACTTTCCTAGCTGTAACAAATCACCCTGAACTTGGATGGAAAACAATAGAATTGAACTCTCTCACAGTGCGAGGCCAGAAGCCAGAAATCCCAGTGCCGGCAAGTTTGGTTCCTCCTGGAGGGTCCAAGGGAGAAAGCGTGGCCGCCTCTCCCCTCGCCTCAGGCGGCTGCCTGCAACCCTTGGTGTCTGATGTGTGGGTTCATCACGCCAACCTCTGCCTCTGTCGCCACGTGGCCTGCTCCCTACATGGTGCTCTCTTCCGTGTCCAGATTTCCCTCTTCTATAAGGACACCAGTCCTTGAACTTGGGGCCCACCCTAGCCCAGGACGACCCCATCTTGATCACTTCTCCAAAAACCCTGTCTCCAAATTAAGTGGCATCTGAAGTTCCCAAAGGACATGAATTTGGGGGGTGTGGAGTGGTCCCTGTTGAACCCAGCAGAAGTGGCATATGTATTTCACACACGGGGCACACTCTTGTGCCCCCTTACGGCCTCTGAAAGCCAGAGCCCCCTGGCACGTTCCCAAAGCTGCTTTATAGTACGCCCCCCCACCCCACCCCTACCAGTGGCACCCAGGGCTTGTTGGACTGGGGTGTGGAGTTATTGCATGAACACTTCTTTGCACTGGGCATGGTCTTAGGTGTTGGAGGTACGGCTGCAAACATTCCGTTTCCACAAAGCAAACAAAAGAGTGTTGGGGGGCCCTCCAGAGGGACGGGGAGGAGCCAACTCTGTGGCTGGAGAGGGGCAACCAGCAAGCTTGAGAGGAAGAGGAGTAAGGAGGGGCTCCCGGCAGCATTGAGGGATCAGCTCTGCCCTAGATAGGCTGAAACAGGTGAGAGCCGAGGAAGGACCTCCAGATGCAGCAACTCCCCGGGCACTGGCGACCTGTCAGAGCACCCCAAAGCCAACAAACATCCATTCTAAAGATGGAGTGCCTTGAGAAGCCTTGGGAGCTGCTCTGAGTCGGGGAGGGGAAGTTTTCTCATGTCCTCTGATGAGACAAATGGATTTGTACTCTAACACATGGGCTTCCCTGGGGCTCAGTGGTAAAAAATCTGCCAGCCAGGGCAGGAGACGCAGGTTTGATCCCTGGTCCAGGAAGATCCCCTGATGGAAATGCCAACCTATTCCAGTATTCTTGCCTGAAAAATCCCATGGACAAAGGAGCCTGGCGGGCTACAGTCCATGGGGTCACAGACAGTCGGACACGACTGAAGGGACTTGAGTCACACAACATTCTAATGTGGAAACAGCCCCATGCCACCCAGGCCCAGGTTAGAAAAACCATGACTCCGTCATCAGCTCTGAAACTTTATTAGAAGGCTGTTTTAAATGACAATTCTTTCTTAATTTGCTGTCACCAATTCCAGTTACAACTCTATTTGTATATAACAGTAACTTTTGCATTGATCTTTGCATCCTATTTGAATTGTCCTCATCAGGCCATTCTGGTGAATAGAAGTGTGACCGTGCATGTGCACGGTGACCAGCATAAGTGAGCAGGGGGTGCAGGTGGGATGGGGGGGTGGCCGGGACAGAGGGAGCCCGCTTCACACAGGGTGGCGGGGGGAGCGGGTGGCCTTCTGCTCTGGCCCTCACCCCCAAACTCACAGTGATAGGTACCTCATTGCCCTATCCTTCAAAAAGCGGGGAATAAAGAAATCCCTCCCCAGTCCGAGAAATGATTTGGACTTCAACGGGGTGGGAGTTTCCCTCCCTCTTCCCGCCCCCTGATCAAACCCTCAGCTCCTAAGGCTTCCGAGGTGCTGCCCCCCGCCCCCGCCTGCTGACCTGCCAACGGCCCGTCTCTCTGGTCAGGGCCTTTTTGCCTTCTTTGCCTTCCTTCTGTCACCAGTTCCGAGAGGAATTTCTTTGGACAGGCACAAGGGTCACGCCCACGGCCCCCTGCTTCCTCTCCCCACCCCACCTCCCAGGGGCTGGGAAGATACAATCCACCAGGAACATAAATATGAATAAAAAATGAACTTGAAAATGACAGGCTATTAATTAAACAAATCTATAAAAATAGTTAGGACGTAACTCTGTTCAAATAAATACAAAATAAATAGGCTCCAAGCAGTGTGACACATTGCATCTGCGGAATGTGAAGTGGTCCCACTTGGCCCCCGTGGGGATCGGATGCAAGTCCCCAGGGGCGTCAGAAACAGACTTTAATGCGGTCAGCCAAGCCATCGGCTCGGTCTTCCTTCTGGAAGACTAGAACCTGCACGTTTGTTCAGCTTCTTTATGAACAAAACCCTTCTTCCAACACTACGTAATTATTAAGGCCTTGAACACCTTTTCCTTTTCTCTCCAGGGCGTGCAGACGCGGGGCAGACACGGCCCTTCCCACTTTGGCACGATGCCTGCTGCCCTCATGCCAGCCGGGCAGAGGGACTTGGTTCTGAGCTGGTACCAGTCCTGACAGAGTCTGGGCCTAGCCCAGAGCCTCATGAGCCCCCGCCAGCGGCAGGGAACAGAGGCCCTCTGGGTTCCAGGACCCGTGAAGCCATGCGCCAGGACGCCAGGCAGCCTGACCCCCCGTCATGCACACGTGCATCCAGGTGCCCGCCTGCTGGGCAGCTCGGAAGCCAGACTCCTCCCTCTCCCCTGCACCAGCCAGGCAGCGGCAGGGCAGCCGGTCAGGAAGCGGGCTTAGGTTTCAGGTACAACTATCCTTCCCCACGGACTGAGGGGAGAGGAGCAGCGTGGGGAGAGGGCCGGGGGCCTCCTCCTACCATTGAAAACAGCAGCGAGGAAGGAAGCAAGGGGGGCCCCCGGGGAAGACGCTCAGCAGGCCAGAAGACGGCCGGCGCCAATGGTCCGGCTGCGAGGATGCGACGGGAGGATGAAGCCGGCCTCCCAGCCCTGCTCTTCGGCAGGGGCCCCTGGGCAGCGCTCACCCGCACGCGCTCGAGCCCATGTCCTGCTGAGCCCCCGGCCCTGAGGAACACTCACAGGTCCTCCCTGGAATGGACATGCGCGTCGGCCGGGGTCAGCGGGACGCACCCGGTGGGCCTGCCAGCTCTGTCCCCCCCATTTGCAGGCACACCCCAGGGTTTTCACAGCTTGGCTTCAGTCAGCATAGTGTTGGTACATTCACAGAATGAGATGGCTACACATCCCAGGGCTGGGAGCCCAGGATCAGCGAGTCCACGCAGGCGGCTGGCCCCCTCGCCCGTCACCGCGACTGCACGCCCAGGGTGATCTTCAGGTTCTCGTATACCACATAGCTGATGCTCACGGCTGGGATCACCTTCATGAAGTTGGGGGCCAGCCCCCGGTACAGGCCAAAGGCCCCCTCGGTCCGCAGAATCTGTTTGAAGAGGCTGCTCATGGTCACCTCGGGAGCGCCCTCCATGGAGGCTGCAGTGAGAGAGGCCACCCGTCAGGGGCCTTTCGCCGGCTCCTCCCTGCGTCCCAACCTGCCCCCGGCGGAGACAGGGCCCTGGGGGCCGCCCGGCCTTACCTTGGGCCTGCATCCGGGTCCTGACCAGGGCCAGTGGGTAGCTGGCCAGCTGGCCACAGGTGCTGGACATGGTGCCACAGGCCAGGAGCACAAACACTCCAGGGTCTGCACTGTTCACTGCATAGCGCTGCAGCCAGGCATTCTTGAGCGTCTGCAAGGGTACCGGGGACGGGGATGAACTGAAGTGCCTGCAGGCCCCAGGAGGGAAAAGCCTGAGAGACAGTGAGGGACTGGGGGGTGGGGGGGCTTGGGGGTTGGGGGCAGATATCGGATCCACACAGGAGGTGCTGCCCGGTCACAAGGACGGGATCCGCAAGGCCACAGTAACCCAACTCGCTTGGCCTGGGCTGGCCCTGGGGGCTGGCTGTGCTCCTGACTGGCCTGCCCTTTGTTTTTGCTGTCACTGGGGGTTCCCGGATAGGATGGGGAGCGGGGTGGGGTGAGGGAGGAGGAAGGGGCAGCAACCCCTTCCTCTCCTCAGAGAGCCGGACCCCTGTGCTCTGTAGCCTGCACGGGCCTGGGGAGCCCCCAGGGCATCGCGCTCTCTAGATCTGTCGGCCAAGCTCCTGGGGTACAGAACCTGGGGGCTGCCAGGGGCAGGCAGTGTGACAGGAGACCCCTTGCAAGGGACAGAGGAATCTGGAAGGAGACAATGGCGGGGAGGGGGCTGGGGAGGGATGATACATAGCCAGGAGGGAGTTTCTGAATCTCTCCTGCTGCTCAAGGGGCCTGAGTCCTCCAGGGCGCCTCACCTCATAGACAGCCAGGTCTATGCCAGCGTAGGGGATGATGCCCAGCATGTTGGGGACGTAGCCTTTGTAGAAGGCAGCCATGCCCTCTCGGGCCAGGATCTTCCTGGCACAGTCCAGCATGCCCGAGTACTGGCCTGTCTTGCGCAGGGCCATCCGGGTCTTCAGGACCTGCAGAGATTGGGGGGGGGGGGGGTGATGGAAGCGTGAGCAGGGCCCACTCTGCCTGCCCACCCCCACACGACGGGCTGCCCGCCCCGGCACCGACGTGGCCCTCACCTCCATGGGGTAGATGCTGCTCTGGGCGATGGCCCCTGCCAAGGACCCTGCCACAAGCCTCTCGTGAATCCTCAGCGTCTCCTGGTCACTCCCAATGAGGCGTTTGATCTGGAATAAGGAGCCAACAAACTGAAACCCCCTGCCGGAGACCAGCACACCTGCTGCTGCCCCGCCCGTCCGTCTGGGGCCGATCAGGTTTAACCGAGACCTGGTGTCCCTGGGACCTTCGATGCTGCCCAGAGAAGGCAGACACCGGCCCCCGGTGGAACGGGCTAGTGGGGCAATGTGGGGGTCAGACCCAGACCTCTCCAACCCCTGCCTGGCCCGGCTGTCTCTCAGGTACAAGGCCTGGCTCTGGGTTCCAGGGAATCAGCAGGGCAGGGACCTTGTCCCAGGGGGCGCTCAGGATGCAGCTGCCAAGGGGCGACTCTCCCTGGAGAGCCGGGTCCTCACCTGCTCATAGGCCATAAATTTGATGGCCGACTCGGGGGCGATTTTGAGGACGTTGATGCCGTTGCCCCTCCATAGTGATCTGGCTCCTCCTTCTCGAATCATCTGGGTGAACCCACCCACGATGCACATGTTGTTGCTGCGGGAGGCGTGGACCTGGGGAGGGAAGGACAAGAGGTCGGGAGGAGCCACAGGGAGCCACCGTCATCTGACCAAGAACCAAGATAGGAGGTCGGCAGGCAAGGCTCTGCCCTCTCGTGCCTGAGACTGACTCAGCGCCCTGAGAGTCAAACGTGGCTGTGGGTCCAACCAGACTTTTCACTGTGCACCCAACGTTTATATGCCAATACCATGCTAAACACCTCTTACACCTCCATGAGGACTACTTAAAAAAAAAAAATTGAACTTTTTACTATGGAAAAACTTTCAAGCATATATAAAAGTACAGAGTAGCTTCCATGAACCCATAATAAGGTTCAACCATCATCAGGCCAGCCAATCTAAGTGCCCCCTACCCATGACCCCTCCTCTCCTACTCCCACTAATTGAATGCATTCCCAGTCTTAGTCATTTCGTCCAAGGACAGCCTTTCATCTCTACAGCATTCCTGGGGATTTGGGGAAGAAAAACAAACTGACGAGGCAATTGGTTCGAGCCTCTTAGTCCAGAGGAATAGAAGACTTGGGAGTGAAGGGAAGTGCTCCCCGTCACCCAGATGGGAGGGTGGGGGGTGGGGCCCCGGATTGGGTCCAAGGCCCAGAGCTCCTCTGCCCAAACCACTCCATCTCCCTGGTCTGGCACCTTCTTCTGTCCACAGGCCTAGAACCGGGGCAGGGAATGGCTGACGCCTTTTCTGAGCAGGGTCCCTGGCATTGAAAAATGCCAGAACACCAGCCAGGGAACAAGGAGGTGACTGGCCACTGTTCAGATGACACTGAAGTCCCATGGTGTGTCCTCAGGTAGGTCGATTTCACAACCCTGCCCCTGACGTGGGTTCAGCTTATCTCTGCCCTGTGGACTTGGAATAGGGCCCTCGGCCAGGGGACTAGTGTCTGGGCCAGGTGAGGATCAGCTTGCACAGCCCCCCATGCAGTGGTCTACATAAGATGTACATAAGGCGACAGGTTCCTGCCATACCCCAGTTCTCACTGGGCTCAGCTGCCCATATTACGGCCCTGTAATGTGACTCCCAGCTAAAGAGCCTCGGATAAAATTAGATCAGCAATGCGCAAAAGGTCACCTGGGCCAGGATCTAATGTCACCCTGGTCTGAGCAATAACTCCAACCTGATTTACTGAGCTAGAAAGGTATGAGCCCAGAGCAAGGCCCCAGGCAAGGGTAGGGAAGCAAACCGACTAAAGAACCCCAAAGAGGAAACGGGTGGCTCAGGGCCCGTCTTGCTGCGTACATACCTGCATGAGCACCTTGAGTCTGTCCAGGGGGGCTGTGCAGGTTCTCGAAACAGCTCCTGCCCCGCCGCCGGCCACCAGGTGCCTCCACCACATCCCTGTCTGCCTCTCCTCCACCGTGAACTCATCGGGGACTGTCAGATTCTCACCCACATCAAAGATCTGCGAGGAAAGCCAGCACCAATAAATCAAGCAGGCTCCCAAAGCTTGTGGCTGAACTACCGGCCGACAGCTAGGTCCACTGCCTTCCACTGTCTAAAATGGAACTACCACCATTCTGCACCCCCTCGCCCAACTCTGTAGAGGTGGCAAAGCTCTGAGCCATCTGTGGCCTTGAAGAGAGAGGCCGAGGTTAGGGTCTGAAAGCAGAGCTGGAAAAATGCAGGTACAAAACCAGGAGGATGGCCTGTCCAGATGCCACCAGGGGCTCCTGTAAGAACAGCTCACAAAGGCATTTCAGCTGAGGATTGCCAGGCTGGCTGTGCTCAAAGGATCAAGTCGGGGGTAAAAATTCTTCTGAAACACGATGTGTAACCAGGGTAAAAATCCTTCTGAAACCTGATGTCTAACCAGGGTAAAAATTCTTCTGAAACCCCAAGAGTAACCGGATCGTGCCGGCAGAGCATTATGCAAGGCTTCTGCAAACACGAGAGGGCTGTGCTGCCTGAGAGGCACCTTCTGCCCTAGGGCAGCGGGCAGAGCCAGCTCTGCTCCGAGCCCAGGGGTGCAGGCCCAACCTGGGGAGCAGTCAGCTCCTACACATGGGGTGTCCACTTAATTTCACCCCACAAAGATGCCAGGCGTCCCCTGAAGGCACTGAGGGAGACAGAGGAGGAAGGGTGCCTGTGGCCTCCCCTCTTAGAGCTGGTGGCCTGGGATGGTGGTAGGACTGTGACCAGGGGGCACTCAGCAAGGAGCAGCAGAAAGGGATGCTTGTGCATGGAGGGAGCACGCGGGCAGGGGGGGTCAATGGGGCCACCACCAGGGAGGGTGCCCTGTGTTTCTGATCAGAAGTGAAAGAGCTATGTGTGTGTGGCAGTGGGGAGGTATTCTTTTGCCATAGGGGGAAATGACACAAAAACTGCGATGGCAGACGGAGAAGACACTTAACAGCTTGGCTATTTGATCTTTACCAGGCAGCTCCTACTGCCTCCCAGGAGGCTTTGCGAAAACCAGAGGGCTCAGTGAGAGGGGTGAACCCTGAAGATCGGGGAACAATGGGGGCGACAGGAGGGCACCCTTTCTGGCAGAGGGAACCCCGTGTTTGGGGAATGGGTGGGGCCATTCAGGCTGGCTGGCACCTGGGAGATGGAGGGAGCACCTGGAGGGCTGGCAGCAGAGTAAATAGCCCTGCTGCTGAGGAGGGGCAGGCCAGGAACCCCCAGCAGGATGGGGGCTGATGCTGGGCAGACGGGACCCTCTGGGCGGGGGGAAGGAGAGACCGTCTTCTGGCCCCAGGAGGCGGGACTCACCGTGGAGTGCTTCCAGTAGAGGATGATCTCAGGGATGTTCTCCACGGGGTGCAGGAGGTGATAGTCTCGCCACTCATGCCAGTCGATGGTCATCGTGCCGTTTTTGTCCATGCTGCAAGACACATGCACGGTCAACCACGTGGACGCAGGCCCATCTGTCAGCTGTAACTCCCCCCCCACCCCGAAACTCCAGGGAAGCCAAGGGCAGGCGCATGGCCACCAGGAAACCACGGAAGGCACCCCTGTCCCAGAGAAGGGGCCAGGTGGCTCCACACCCCACTTGGCACAGATACAGGGATGTAATGGCCCACGAGCACCCCGATTTGATCAGGCACAGCAGTCAAGGAGGCAGGAGGAGGTCCCCAGGGTGACACGGATACTTACTAGGTGACAGGGCCCCAGAAGTGGCCCGTTCGTATTCTGACAGACAGACATAAGGAGGATGCAGAGGAGAGAGGAGAAACAACACAAATAAGTGCTCTGAGCGGAGGTTAGTGAGGCAAGCACATGGCACAGCATGGCGTGAGGATGCACTCTGCAGGTGAGGGGAGCGAGGGCCAGGGGCTGCCATCCCTACCAGCCTGCCAGCCGGCTTTGGGCCCCCCGGGACTTAAGGAGGCTGGGGAGGACAGGAAGCGACTGCGGGGCTGCTCTGGTGGGAGCTCCCAGCCCCTAGGACCACCATTTGCCTGGGGCTGACTCTCGGGGCAGTGCATCTGAGTGTGAAGTGAAGAGGAAGTTCCCCTCACTGGAGGGTGGCCCTGTAAGCCCTGCTGCTCCCTGCACGACCAGGCAAAGAAGGGTGTTCCTTGCTCGCCTTTCACCTACTGAAATCCCCCACTAGTCTTTTCTCTTCAAGGGTGGCTGGCGTCGGGCACCCCGCCAGGGGATTTGCAATTCTTCCACTGGGAGCTGACCTGGACCCTGGGGAGTGGCTGGCCTCTGGGAGGGGTTACTTACTCATCCCTTTCAACCACCAGGAGCCAAAGTTCATGGAAACAGGGTTAATACAATGAATGGCACCACGGAGTGAGTCCAAGAATCTTTCTTTTGTCACACTTTTGTTAAAGCAAATTCAGGGGCTGGTTACGCATGCACTCACCTCTTGAGGATTTTCTCTGCCTGCTGCTCAGATATCTTGACTCCCAGGTCCCGCAGGGACTGCATGATCTCCTGGGCGTCGATCCGCCCTGGAACAACAAAGGCCGTGAGCCTGTGGTCAGCCTGGCGCAGAGGCCCAGGACTGCTGGGCAGCTGCTGGCCCCGGGGACAATGCTCACCATCATTCTTTTTGTCCAAACTCTTGAACACCAGCCTCAGTTTCTTCTCGTGATCTTGGAGATAATGGACGAACTCTTCGAAGTCTAGCTGCCCATCGAGGTCTTTGTCGCCAGCTTGTACGATTTTCTGGAAAAGAAAAGAAAGGTTTAGTCCCTGGGCTCAAACACCAGCTTCTCCTGTGTGGTGCCCCGTCCTCAGGGAAACAACTGCTCATCCATGAGGTGGCCCGGTGACCTGAGACACTTCCCCTCCTCCACTCCCAGGGTCACTGCCTGGATGCCCGAAGGCCGGCCAGAAGCCAGCCGAGAGCCCGCCATGCTTCCCTCACGATCAACAAAGGAAAAAAATCAGTCCCGGAGAGAAGCCCTTTAGACAGAGTCTTTCTGGTTTCACTAGGTTAGTTGCCTGGCTCCCTGTCCCTGGAGCCAGGCCTCAGCCCCACATGCCCTCGGCCCACATGTGGGGTGGCCCCGGAGCTCTAGATTTCAGCAGAAACGCTGCAGCTTGTGCTTTTATCCTTAAAAGTGGCACTGGCCCAAGAAGAGTTGGGGGCGACCTGGGTAAAGGTACAGGGCAGAGCTGGCCCCTGCCAATGCCTGCTTGGTGGAGACACTGTCAGAGAGAACTCTGGAGGATGGGGAAGTGCTACGACCCACAGGAACTACTTTTGGGCCTGTGCTCGAAGGAGCTGTCTCAGATCTCGGGGGAGCCAGATGCTGTAACCAACCTCAGCTTCCTAACCAGGCGCTGGAAAGCAAGGCAGCTTGACTCAGGAATAGTTCGGTAACCCAGGGGTCTTTAAGAGACCCTCTCCTTGGCAATGAGGGTCCAGAAATCTGCACCTGCGCTTAGAGACAAGCTTGGTTCAAGCAGCTGCAGTCCGTTTTGGATGCTCAGCAAGTGGAAGTTCTCCACAAAAGCACAAGAACTTGGCTAAACACTTTACCTTGAGTAATCTGATGAATCCTTGCAAATAGCTCTAAGAGGTGGGGGGGCTAGCATTTCCCTCACTTTTCAGAAAAGGAAACAGAAGTTCTGGGAGGCTAAGTAATTTATCCAAGGTCATGCAGCTAGGGAAGTGGTAGGTGGCATTCAAGCCAGGCCTGTTGGATTCCAGTCACCTCCCTATTGAGAGCTGCTGCCATTGTAAAGGTTAATCTCAAGAAGGTGGGGAACATACATGAGTCACTCCAAGCCCAGCAACACCCCAAAACTAGGACTGAAAAATCTCCTAAGGAAAATGGGTATAGTCTCCCTGTGTTGCCCAATTCTCTCAGCGAGAAACACATCCTCTATCTACAAACCAATGTGGGTTTCAAAGTCTTCTGAGCCAGTGGGTTTGGAAATTGATGGATCATTGGCTAGCTGGTCCTCTCCAGATACTGTGTCACTTAACATGATCCAAAGACCAGCTCGGGGGTGTGACTGGAATGTGAGACAGACGCTGGTACATGTTCCATCAGCTCTCTGGACTCGGGTTAACTTCCTGCAGACATTTCTGCTCTCCATCAAGAATGACACAGATTACGTACAGGTAATCATCCTAGCTTTATGAGAGGAGTGGAAGTAGAACCTGCATGTCATTCAGGGAGGAGGCGAATGCAAGGAACAAAGCTCGCTGGAATCTGCACTGCTCTGGCACCAATGTGATCCATGTGCTTTGTTGGGGTGGGTGCCGGGGTACAGACAACCCAAGGACATGCTCACGCGGCTGGTTTCAAAACAGTCTAAACCCTTGCTTCTACCCTAGTCCGGTCTCCTTCATAGGATAAGCACGTCATCAACCCCTGCACACCCTCTGACCTCCACTACCACCATGAGAACCTGGGGACAGCGAGGGGTCCGATGACCGGCGAGGCTGGGGTGTCCCTGTAGGAGGAGGCCACCCTCTCAGACGCTGTAGCTGTTTCCCTGTATTTAAAATGGTAATGATCTCTGCTGCCTCCAGCTCCAAACAGACCTCCTAGGAAGGTCCCCTCACCCCTGCCCATTGGTCTGTTTCACCCAGAGCACAGCCCTGTCACCTCCAGCCTCCTCAGCCACAGTTCCAACTCCTGTGCCTCCAACAAGGGGCCTTTCTCCTCCCCCTCTTTGCGCCCCAGCTCAGAGAAAGATCCCTGCAGCAGCCAGACCGTGCCCCACTTTCTGGTTCTGCACTGCCCCGCACCCACTCTCCGCAAGAAAATTCCTTTCCCTCTTCCACAAGTGCCTCCCCTATAATTCCAGCCTCCCCTGGAAGTCACATGAGAGCCAGTCTCTCCCGTGACGCAGCCCTGTAGCCAGCTACAGCCACACGCCCGCTGGGGAAAAACTGGCACCGGCTGGAAATCGAGGGAGCCGGAGGCATGGGACCCTCTACTAGCTCCAGCCTTCACTGAGTCAATGCTGATGAAATGCCTGGCCTGCCTGCCTTCTGCGTCCCGGTACAGACCTGCTTCCACTGGCGGTAGGTGGAGAACTCCTGGGAGGGGATAAAGACGCTGAGTTTGAAGATGGACTTCAGCTCGGCAGGAAGCCCCTTGGACTCGAAGTACTGGAACTCGGTCTGGGCCTCCCCGATGAGGGGCACATAGAGGCACAGGCAGAGCATGCTGGCGGGAGCTGCTTCTGGTGGCGTGGACGCCGGGAATGCTGCCTGGCCCCGGCACACTTGCACAAGATATGCAGGGGCGCAGCTGTCGTTGGCTGCCTCAGCCCTGCCCTTTAGCTTAATTGAAAAAAAAAAACCTGCTCACTGTATTTCAGCCAACAGCCAATGAGCACACAGCCCCGCGAGGAGGCGGGCACTGTCTATTTGCCAAGGGATAAAGATCAGGACTGATGTCACCCGCTCCCAGGTTAACCCTTTCGAGACAGGCACCGCATTCGGCCCTGCCCCCCCAAACAAACCTTCACCCACCGGCTGCCAACCCCTCCAAACAAACAGCCTTTGGCCTGTTTTTTTCCACAAGGTCCCCAAACGCGTCACACAATACCGTAGTTTCTCCCCTTAGTAAATCATTCCCAGCAGAAAAATTAGTGGAGGCAGAGACTGAATCAGGGCTCACTGAATGGGTCCAGTTTAGCTGTGAGAGTAGAAAGTCAGGGGCGGCACGGAGATTCTGGGAGGGGTCCCGTGGGATTGTAGGGGGGCTCATTCATCTGTCCTGGAGCTGCTCCTGAGCTGGCTGGCTCCAGGGACCTTTCCTTCCCAGGCCACCTTGCACATGAACACCCCTTCTCCTGTAGGTTTTGCCTGGAGACCCCGCCAAGTGTGGAAAGGCTGACGTGGGGGGCGGGGAGCAGGAAGAGGACACCCTAGGCCAAGGTCATTGTGCTGGGGGGATGCCTCAGCAGCACCAATCTAGGGTCAGCCTGAGCCTCACTCAGGACCCATGGAAGTAGTTTTCAGAGTCCACGTTCACTGAGAACACTCCAAAGTTTAGTGGATTGGAGCTTTTCAGCTTAGAACCGTGCTACTCAATACAGAAGTTTTTCAATTTTATTTTCATTAATTTATTTCTGGCTGCATCACAACATGTGGGATCTTAAGTTCCCCAATCAGGGATGGAACCCTTGTCTCCAATGCAGGGGGTCTTAACCACTGGACCACCAAGGAAGTCCTCAATTTTAAATAAATCAAAATGAAACTAAAAATTCATTTCCTGGGTCGCATGGCTTGACAGTCACATGTATTCACTGAGCATTTCCATCATCACAGAAAGTTCTACTGAACAACACTGTCCTAGAACATCCCTTTTAGGTGAGGATGAGGGGAAAAAAAATCTCAGGTCCTGGAGAGTCAAGATCTGATCTTTATTTAAGAGCCACCCTGCCACCTCCACCTGTCCCTTCACACGGAAGGTGTCAGATTCGTGCTGCAGAGGAAGAGCCCACGTCACAGAGATGAAAAAGGAACCGTCTTGCCTTGTTCCATCTACAGTGTGCCACTTCCTAATGTAGACAAAACCTCACTACCAGGATGGGTTAAAAACGGATTTTATCATTTGCTGACCCACAAAAGTGAAAGGAACTTCTTAAATTCACTAAAAAGCTTTTTGTTAAGATCTTGAAAAAGGTTCTGAAAAGAAGATGCTGATGCTTATGTACATCACCATAAAACAGATTTTAGTAACTTATATGATGGGGTTGGCTAAAAAGTTCGTTTCGTTTTCCTGTGAGAGGCTACAGAAAAACCCCAAAGAACTTTTTGCCTGACCCTTCTAAAAGAGATCTGAGGGTAAGTCTGTAAAAACAGGTCTTGGGCTGTTTTATCCATCCACTTGGGTGGATCCGATGAGGTACTCAGAGGCAGCTCAGGATTATTTGGGCAAGAGCCTGCTCAGCCTCCACCTAAATCCAAGTCACTCAGCTGCCTGTTAAGCCACCCAATGCAGAATGTTCTACTTTAGGGCTATTTTAACATACATCTTATCTCTACTGTTGGGGTCCCTAAAGGCAGGGCCATTGTACCTCCTTGTCTGGAATGAGCCTTTGCCTTGATCACAGAAGGTGCCTGATAGAAGTAGTTTCTGAATGAATGAATCATACTTGGCAGGGCTCTAAGACCCCAAGGAACAAACATGACCATTCTCAATGAAGACCTTAGGTTTGGTTTCCCAAGCATCTGCAAATAAAGAGTCTTCAGGGCATTCTGTCTACCTCAACAAGATACTCTATCATTACTTTTATTTTAAAGGAAGTTCACATTTATAAATAAAAGAGCTGAACTTTAACTGCTGATCTTCCTTTGTTAAAATTACTCATGTGTGCTTCTGAAAAGAAAACAAATTACACAGAACTGTTGACGTGTCTCATTTCAATGACGAATGTAATCCTTCCAATACAAAATGGCAAATATTTTGACTGAATGAATAAGTTGTTCAATTGGAGATGTTCATTTCCTACAAAACTATGTTTTTCAAATAATGGTGGTACACATAACTGTACCATTGAGGGCTTTTTTTTTTGGAACCACTGAGTTTTATGACATATTTACAAACCTGAAAAGAGATTTGAAAACAAAGCCAAATGAAAGTGAAATCAATATTCAACATACAAGGAATGATCTATATGTAACCTTATTGTATATTTTCCAAATCTCCTGTAAATGTATCATATTTTCATAATTTAAAAAATATATTAAA